TTTAATAGTGCCAGTACTGAGGTGAAACGAGGATTTAGCATGCACTAAGACTGATAGAGAAGATGGCTGTATTTCTCCCTACGATCTGACAGTAGTTTCTCAACAAGACTTACTGAAGGCAGAAGGTCCACCCACCTCCTAATTCATCAGTATCGCTGACCGCAAAATTCTTGGCTTTTAAAGGTGAGAGCCAGAAATGAAGCCAACTGCTCTAAGCTTCACCTTCCAGACCTTCACCTCTGCATGTGTTCTCCAACACAGACTCTTAGATGAAACTTTGGCATTGCTGTCCTCTTTGGACAGGAAATAACTATTCCCTCCTCCCATCTGCATGTCTCATCCACAGTTCAGGATCATTCCCTGAGCAGCTGTACCTCAGTGCTGGCTTTAAGGACCAACCACACCTACCTCTTTGTAAGGCAAAGTCAGTATCTGCTGGGACAGGACTCACAGATGAGTCTGGGAAGCAGATCCCAGGGGAATCTAACCACTGGGGCCTTAGGCCCTTTCTCCTTACTCACAGGACAGACATCTTCCTGAGTCCAGAGAGAATTCACTTTACAAGAACAATTCTTCCCATTCAAGCGCACAGTTCTCACAGGAACTTATCTTTTCCCTTCTCTCTCTTTTACATCTAAAAAATTATTTGGAAAAGATGTCTTTCTGTTCAAAAGGAGGCTTATGACATTGCTTCTGACTACTGCCATTAGGTTCCATATTAACGTAAGGAAAAACTTTTTCACTGTGAGGGTGACAGAGCCCTGGAACAGGCTGCCCAGAGAGGTTGTGGAATCTCCTTCTCTTGAGACATTCAAAATCTGCCTGGATGCGTTCCTGTGTGATCTCCTCTAGGTGGTCCTGCTCTGGCAGGGGGGTTGGACTAGATGATCTTTCAAGGTCCCTTCCAACCCCTAACATTCTGTGATTCTGCTATTCTGCGATCCTGTATTTAGTCTCCATTGTCTTTCAGCAACAAGATGCAGCCTGAATATCTTGCCTTTAGAAGAAACAACATCTGAAGTAAATACAGAAACAGAAATGGATGAACAGCTAATTCAGGGAGTGGCTGGTGAAGAATGGAAGAAAAAAGTGGTTTTCACAACTTTAGTGCTTCCAGGAAAAGAAAGAGAAAGACTTTGCTGGTGAAAAGATCAAAGATATAAGTATGTATAAGGCTGATTTGATGAGTGATGTCACTTGTAGCTCAGAAGGTGATGAAAAAACGTCCCTTTTTAAAAAATGTAGGCTCAGCGGCGCTTGAATATTCAAAAGCAATACTGTCTAATTTTACAAGGGAATAAAAATAAATTTACATCCAGAATTACTGGATCATTGCAAGTAAGGGACTCTGCTTTGCTTTCATCTGCCCTGTGTTGAAAAAACACATGTGAGGTGGGACTCCTGAATCTTCTAGTTAGCTTGACTCTAATTTACAAGGAATAGCAGCGTTTAGACAAAGATCTCAGAAGATATTCCAGCCTTTCTGGCAGAAGGATATTTATACTGGAGTTGACCTTGGCATAAAATATGTAGGAATGGTGAAGCTGGATTTAGTCAACGCTTAATACAAATTGCTATAGGATGCATTCCACAATGGAGGGTTGCAGCTGTTGCATGGATAAACACCCCTCTTTCAGTCAAAGCAGCACTGCATTTGCTCCTGACATGATCTGCTGCCTCTGGTAACCAGCAATGCCAACCTTGCAAAGATCATTTTAAAACAACTACACCCACTGTCAACAATTCGGAGTTTTGTGTATGTACAGGACAGGGGGAATATAGTCTAACCTTTGATTAACTAGAATTGCACTGGCAAAGGTCTTAAGCCATATATTAAGCCATGTATTTTCTTTTAGAAATAACTCATAACGAGAGTTTTGAGTTTTAGACCTCTAACTAGTTACAATAAGATTAATAGTATTATTAATACATTACTAATAATATGATTAATAAAATGACTAAAAATAACTAAGATTATATAAGCTATGGGATAGCTAGAACTCTGATCTCATTAAGAGGACAGTACCAGAAAAGTTATTTCATTAGAATTTTCAAAGCAAAGAAATTCTAAGCTTCTCTAGCTAGTCAAAGATTATGTGACTCACAACACAAGCAAATCACACAGACTTTTTGAAATGTGTCCAGAATGGTACACCAATACATGACAAATATTATCCAGGAATTATTATTTTGTGCTTTAGGTAGCTATTTCTTCTTTCTTGTACAGCAGTTAATAGCAAAATGCTTCTGAGCTCTTAAGTGAAACTGATTTCAGTGGCTGGAAGAAGTTCTCACTTTGCAATGCTATTAACTTAGTTATCCAGTTGTCCTTGAGGTGCTCTCCGTAATCTGAAGATCTAGAAGTTGTATACTTAGGTAATGACTGTCTCTAAAATAAATGTATAAGTTGAAAAGGAATATCAGAAAAAAATAAAAACAAATTGAATTCAAAAATTTTTAGGGCAATTTAACAGTTTGCAAAAAAAAAGAGAATACATTAATTCAACTTTTACTTACTAACTTTATTTTTAAAAAAGCTTATTTTTTGAGGAAGTATTAGAAAATAATGTTTAAAACGTTTACTTAAATCTTTCATCCACTTTCTTTTATATGCTGTAGATATGCTTTCATTTCTGCACATTTCTAGACGTCGCACTTCTGCATAAGAATGGATAGCTCAGTGAAGTTCTGAAGTTTCTCCCTCAAGTGTCTGAAAGAATCATCAAGAACCATGAGAGTATAACTTGGTTCTTTCAAGGCATTTCGAGACAACTGTTGCAAACAGTTTACTAAAATATCAAGTCTGAATGGCACAAAAATTGTACCATACCTTTGAATTTTTTGAAGTGTATAACCAGTCTTAAATTTTTGCAATTAAAGGATATAATATGCTTACAAATTTCTCTTGTCCCAAATGCAACACAGAACTGAAACATAGGGGAATGATATAAAAAGATAGTCTTGTGCCTTACACAATCAAAATGATACGTAAATAATAAGAATATTAACTTAAAATAATGCAGCCTGCATTTTAAGTTTCTGAATTGGATTTTTATTTTATGGCTTGCTTTCAATAAGCTTAATAGGAGTGTCCTACATAGTTCACAAAATATTTTCAAAATGGGCCCTTTTTTAATGTTATTGTCTCAGAAATAGTTTATGTATGTCATCACAGTCCTCTCTTTGTTAGAACATACAAATCTTTACTTTGCTAACTTTATTATTAGCATGATGTATCAATGGATTCCTGAAATTTAATACATTGCATAAAGTTCCAAATCCTAAAGCTAGCCACTTCACATGCTGAATGCAAAGCTGTTTTGCTTAGTACATGTCTGACTTTTGATAATTCACTTGAGGCCAACCAATCCAAATTCTTGACTAACAAAACCTGTGCAATTTCAGGAACTTAAAGAGGTAGCACACATCTAAACTCAGCATAGATTACACCACCGACTCACAAGCTCCCCTTGTCAAACCCAAGCCTCACAAAAGTTACCAAGATACCCCAAGAAGGGAGGCCTTTATTATAGTTTTACCTGCTTCATGTCCAGCGGTTTTATCCTACTGAAATATGGACTTTCTAGATTGTCCTTCTTACCCATTTTGAACTCGTATTCTTATGTGTGTTTCTATTTTTCTGTTTAGTGGATTTCATAAATTGTAACAGAAGGCATGAGATATTTGGGGTCTGGACTCTCCATCAAAATAGTTAATCTGGTTCCTCAGAATCCTCAACACTAACTTGCTTTCATTTTTAATGACATGATATATTCACTTTCAAACCACATTAATTTCAATGAAAAAAACCAAAGCCAAAACAAAAGCAGATCTGCGTGTGAAATGGTTAGCTAGGTTTAATTTCCTTCCTGTGTCTGCTGAATTTTTACAGCTTAATGAAAAAATAAAAAGCACAAGTAAAGGAAAAGAGACAACCCAATCTCACCATCACTCCATGAACCAGAGAGATTTTGTTATGTGACAATACGAACACCATCACATGCACGAGCTTTCATCCAGAAGTATGAAATAACTGTGTTATCCTACCACCTTGACAAATTCCATTTATATTAGATTTTCCTCATCAAAAAGAAGTGTGTATGAAAAAAAAACCCAAAACACCTAAGAGTTTAAGGACCAGCTGCTTCTGTTTAAGCCCAACTGCTTCAGTATTGATGCAGCATAGCTAGGGCATGATGTCATCTGAAAGACCAGCAGAATATATCCTAGTTGATCTTAAAAATATGTAGTGGTCTAGCCTCTCCTCTCTGAGTGTGCATAACTCCCATCAGTGGGGAAGGGAGTTATTCACACACAGAAAAGAAGATAAAGTAGACTAAATCACCATCGTGGATAGAGAGGTGTATAAGTTCTACTAAAGAAAGAGACAAGTATTTTCTTAATATTTACTTGTTCTTGCTACCGCATAGCAGCTAGTTTTAAAAATTAAAGAGAAGAAAGAATAGTCTTCTAATGCTTCCTGTTTGCTTTTACATAACCCTATGGGGATGAAAATCATTCTTTTATTCCAGTCGTTCTGTTCTCTCTCTCCATTCATTCATGCAACCATCCATCCACCCCTACCCCTCCTCCCTAGTTCTACAGTTTGATATGCATGCATGGAGATACTTGCATTGTATGTAATTTACTACATATTTAATAGCAGCTTTTCTTGTTCTAAAAGTTGCAGGGAGAAGAAAATAAATTAAAGCTGCAGCTTCTAAACAGATGTACAATACACATGTTCACAGGCACACAGAAAGAATAATGACATTTATTTTCTAGCCAGTCACTTAAGAGGATGGCACAATATATACTATTCTGAATGCCAAGCAACAATGAAAATCTTAAAAGTGGTAAAACTCTCTCAATGTCCTGGGAACATTATTGTCACTTGTCATTACTGTGCATCTTTCTATTTCTTTATATATCCTAAACTGCCTATTCTTACATAATTCAACACATTTAATAATGTAGAAAATCAATTAATATTTACTGACCTGTCTCTGCTTCTCCGTGATGGGAACGCAGCATTACAGCCAGCCACTGTGCAGACATGCATCTCTTTCAAATGAACATTTCTGTAGTGAAGCTTCACACTGTATGAACTCTTGAAACTTTTCTTGCACACATAGCAGATCTTGGGGTCTGGGCTGGAGCACATTTCACCTTCTGGGGAGAACTTCTGAGGGCTGCTGTAGTTGAATGTAGAAGCAAAACTTTCATGAAGGGCAGCCATACTGGCACTGCCTCCATTGTACAGTCCATATTGGCTCATGTAGAACATATCATATGTAGGGTCTGTATACTCTTCCTTGACCTTAATGACATCCTGGTTGGAAGAGTCATTGTGGTTTTCATCTGGTCTGTCACTGTGCATCATAGATTTTTCACCAGGTTCGTGGAGGCGATCATCACCTTCCATGGATTCCTCACACAATTTGGGCTCTGACAACTCCGATTCATTTTCATAGTCTCTCTCATGCTCCTGGTCTTCTGATGTCATGCTGTCTGCCCTTCTTATGTCTGGTCTGGAAATGCATCTGCTTCTGTCACTTTTGGAAAAGTCTTTCACAGACAGGCCTGGGCTCATTTCCTCCTGAGAATGGCAGTGATTATCATGACCAATGTCATTCACCATTGTGCTGCTATCATTCACCTCTTCATCTTCATCATCAAATTCATCAGCAGTATCGATAACTTCCTTTTCAATTTTAACTGGCATGCTCGACTTCCTTGGCTTCTTCTTGGGAGCAAGGTCAGCATTAGGGTCTGGGGTGGGCATCAGCACTGAAGGTACTGATGACTCTGAAGGAGGAGGGGGGTGCTGCTCCATGCCACTCACTGCTGGTATTATTGGACTGGTAGGGAGTGAGGTTGGAGGACTCACCATCTCTCCAGGAGTAAGTAAATTTCTGTAAAAAGGAGGAACAGGTTGGACAGTTTTTAAAGCTGGGAACACCAGCTGACTTGGAAGAGGGTTCTGTAGTACAGGATCTAGAGGGGGAGTGGTAAACCCCATTGGTGGACGCCCAGGGCTTGTTAAATTTAGGTTGGATTTTGTACTTGCTATGACTGGAGTGGCGGCACCTGATGTAGCACGAATTAGATCTTTGTCGCGGTTATTCCTTAGCATAGGCATGTGGAGACGGGGATTTGGGTTAGCACTGTGTCGATTGCGGCTTCTGAGAGAGCTGAAGACCATGTTGCAGCCCTCAATAGTGCACCGATGCTTGATTTTCAGGTGAACGGCATTGTAGTGAATTTTAAGAGTACCTTTGTCATAGAAAGTTTTGCCACATGCATTGCAAAACACTCTTCCTTTCCTGGAGGCTGACCCCATTCTCCTCATTCTATGAATGCGGAATGAGCTTTTAGTGTGTTCTGTTTTTGACAAATCGTTGACAGGTGTAGGCGTCTGAACAGGAGAGACGCAGGCTGGCTCAGTTTTGGGCTCAACATTTGTGATGCTGGTCAAAGCATTTTTTTTCTGCTGGATGTTTGCTCATTCTTGAAAGGCGTAGGGGAAACTTCAGATTCACTGCTCTCATTATATTCATTTTGGGTCGTAAGGCTTGGTTCGCGAAGCCTCATTGCTGGCTGTTCCAGTAGAAGGCCATTTGGAGGCAGCCCCAGCAATGGAGCAGAGACTGGATTTATGTACTGGAATGGAAGCAGGAATGCAAGGCTATTTGGGATGTTTTCAAAATGATGAATGCTGGAAGGATTGCTATTCTCCAGGTGAGCAAGGAGACTTGGGCTCCTGGTGCGATTATTGCTTTCAATAAAAGTCCTTATATCTGAATCTGTCTTTGAAGATGGCACAGCCACAGCCTGCCCTTCTTTTTCTTGAATTGCCATCAGCTCCACGATGGATTTAGTTTCTCCAAATCTCAGGAACTGCTGAAGGGTAATGATCTCTTCTTCCCTGGACATGATGGCCCAGCGGTCCAGCACCTTGCCTGCAGCATCCTAGAGGCCGTATCAAAGAAACAACAAAGACAAAAACAAAGAAAAAACTTATTGATTCTGTATAATTATTGAATTCAATAGAACGTACTCTGCTGCCTGAACATGAAACACTAAGCTCAAAAAACTACACGCAAACAGCGCTAATAGAACTCGACTAAAAAATTCAAACTTTCCAGCCATGCAAATACAGTAATTAGAGTGACAGTCAGAGAAACAGATTGAGTTTAATAATGTCATAGCAAACACATTGTAGACCACGGGGCTCTGTGATCTAAAATGCTTTAAATACTTTTATTATAACAACAGTGATCTATGTACAATGCTACCGTTTAGCATACAGTAGAGTAAAACAAATTTGCTGTGCACTCCATTGTAGAATATAGAAAATTGTACCTTAATTGGTATTAAATGGTGACAATATAAGAGCTAAATAAATACATTTGATAGATTTGCTTCTTAAATATAAACAGACATAACAGTGAAGTCACTTGTGGGCCATCTCACAAGAAATTTTGATGCAAAGCAAAACATCTTAAAAATTGCACATAATACTAGTACATTACTCTTTTTTTTTTTTTTTTTTATTTTCCCCATGACAGCAACACTGAAAAAGGTATTCATTATAAACTTGCATCAAAAGGTAGAAACTGGGCACTGGTTTTAAGCATAACTGGACTATTACTGGCAATTGATTGTAAATTTGCAGCCTTGATATGGTTTAGACTTAAAAGACTACTTTTTTGCAGCCTTGTTATAAATGACAGTTAAAAATATGTAAAAAGCAAGCATCTGATGGATGTAGATAGCATAAATGTGTAAAAATGTTGTATCTTAACATTGCCTTCTGATAGCAAGGGAAAAATCCAGAGAGAATACACATCAGTAATCACTAGACTATCTGTTGTTAAATATACATTAAAAAGCATTTCACACTTTCATTTTTGCTAGTAAGCATGAGATTTGCCTGAAGGTAGGATTTAAAAATTCTGCAATGTAATGTCAGGCAATCCATTCCAGCATGTATTGATAAAAACATATTAAAATACTTATATAATGAATACATCATTTTATTGGCATCTTTCCTTTTGGGCAAATGCTGGACATAACATCAGCACAGTAACTAACCAACAAGCACTGTTGCAGGCCATCAAACCAGAATTATTCCAATGCTTCCTCATGCATTAAACAGTTTGAAAGCCTTGCAAGATACTCCACTGTACTCTCTGATCTTTTCAAATCTTGAATCTCAGCTTCAAAACCTTATCCAAACACTTTGGACTGCACACTATTGCAAAAACCACTAGCTTTTGTTTGATTATGAAGCCTGCAAATACCTTTTTTTTTCCAGAACTTTTTTTTAAAATTTATTTTATTATCTTCAGTCTTCAGAGGATTGATTCTTCTCTCCCCTCAGATGTCCTAAAGTACTGGAAAATGTGATTTGCCCCAAATAGTAAAGCATATTTATTTGTTTACAGCTGGTTTTATTATTTCAGTTCTGATCTGCTCACTTCTCTGGATACGAAGTTGGTGATGAAGGTCAATACCACGTATGTTTCAGCACCTTAGATGAAACTGTAAAACTTTAGAGAGGCTCCACATGTGACCATTCATAATCAAACCTTACAAGACTACGAAAACCTCAACACCAATTAATTATGGAAAAATCTTACCCAGCTGACCCAGATGGAAAGCCCCAGAAACTATCTCTATGCAGAAGATGTTCAGCATGTATTTACACAGTGATGAAGGAAACACTATGATGCAGATGGTGGTCCTGGTTTGCAGCATTAGTCAGGAAATGTTGCCACCTTTGAACATCTTTAAGCACTGTGGATATCTCTAATTTCTATGCCCTTCCAGTTCTACCTGACTGATGAAGTATTTTACAGGCAGGTACTGTTATCTAGTAGCAAATATCAAAAAACTCCACCCAACAACAAAACAAAGCAAAGCAAAACAAAACCAAAATGGGCCAAGGGGAGGGAGAAAAACACCACCAACATCACAAACAAACAAGGACAGGTTCATATTTTAAAACTTTAAGATTATATTTTTTTCCTATCCAACTAACCTTGTCTAACTCTCCCCATGAGAGTGACCTAAAGCTTCTTACACCTACTTCTCCTACAACTTCCAGCCAGCCATACTTGTTCTACATTTGAGTAATTCCTACCTGGAACTGCAAAATCAGACTTGGTTCAGATTGTGGTCTCCAGGCCTTTGCTGTCACCTCTGACCTAACCCATATGCACACATTTCTAGTCCCAAACCACACGTATTAATTCCTTCTAACTCTAACTTGCATTGTTTGAAGATGGAAATAACATCACATAATTCACACCGCTTACTGTATTGAATTAGGATTCCTGTCTGCAGCCAGCTGCAGGCTGCTTTGTAATGTACTACGGGTAGTAATTTGTTTTCGTTTTGCTTTAATTTGTAAATCACTCACAGGCTTATGTAACAGATGGATGCTTTACAAAAACGAATATTTAAGTAAATAAAAATTAAATACATCCAGCACGACAATAACTCATGAGAATAGTAGGTACAGATCCTGTAACAGGCTCCCACACATAAGCAGAAGGTGGTATCACATAGTCCCTCACCTGGCAGCAGCGCACTGAGCTCTTTGCATGCACAGAACAGGTAAACATAATTTAAATGAAGGGGCACCAAGTATGCTTTTGGGGAGTTATTCCACAGCTTAACTCAGAGAAGCCAGCAGTTGTCTACATGAGCTACCCCTCAATAAGACACCACCAACCTTTCATTTAGTTTAAGGATATGCAATGAGGAGGGCCAGTCCTTCAGTAGGTGCTAAGTCCCACTGATCAGAGAAACTGTCAGTGAAGGCTGTGATTGTCATGGGGTTCCCCTCGCTGTCATAGAAACAGCAGGGAATGAGAAAGCTGCTCTTAAATGATCCTTGCTGACTCCTAGTAGTTATATCAAGCTATATCTTGTTAATTCTCAACAAGAAGTTGTATGGCTTTTTTTCCCCAGCAAAAGTAAAGAAAAAATGCACAGATGGCTATATTTCAGAGAAAACACACTACTTACGTATACTGTGTAGCATATGCTTCAATATTTACATAGTGATGGCTTTCCATAAATCATTGTAAGTATGTATCATGCAAAACCAGATAAAGAGCAAATAGGAATGTCATTTTTTGATAAAACTGAAAATTAACAAAAAATCTAACCATTATCTTCTTTGAATTAAGCTATAACTAGCTAGGGATCTCTCTGTATATGGTAATACTTGATTAGAGGTTCAAGTCCTTTCTTACGTGTAATCAATTTCTTGTTTCTTACAATCTCTCACACTAAATTTTCTCCCCAAAGCCATTAAATCATATCCACATTTAAATATTTCATGACAAAAGGTTCCAATTTATATTACTTTTTTCAGCTCACAACTGATTAAGCCAAGCCTCCTGTGACAATGTGTACAAGGAAGTCAGTGAGTATAGAGATACCACTCTAGGCTTACAGTTTTAAGCCAGGCAGTAGACAAGGAAGCCCAAGCTGTACAGCATACAGTGATGCTCTTCCTGCTTTGCCCACAAAGCCTTGTTTTTATTTTTATTTTATTTTGTATCTGTGGGTAGCTCGCTCACAATTTCAGATGGAGAAAATGCTAAATCATAGTAAATTAACCTCCAAAGATACAAGACACAACCTTGAATCTTCTACCTCTAAACACAAACTTGACTCTATTATTCCTATAGATACAGTTTTACATACACACATAGTACATTAGATCTATAAAGTAATGCTATGGTTAATCACCCTGAACCTGCCTCCTCATTTTTGCTGACCGTATGTTAGGAAGAGATGTGTCAGGATATGTTAGGGTATATCTTGTTTTAAACTTCTGGGTCAGATAGAGAAAGCGATAGGTGTCAAGATGATTCTCTTGGATGATACAAACAGGCTACAACAGAAGATGGACACAAAGATTGCTCTAATTTTTTGGAGCTTAATTGGGGAGGATTGTGAAGATGAGTCTTCATTTCCTGAGGGCCTTTAGGCTTTAAAAATTTCAAGCTTTCAGCTTGAAAACCTCCCAATTTAAAAACTGCCCATTTACAAAATAAGGACAGTCTGCACAAACATACACTATAAACAGACACTGTAAACCTTGAACTTTTGTTATGAAACCAGTTGTTTTAAGATCTAACTTTGTGTGAGGAGCTCCATTGACTCCTGTGCCTGCATTACCTGCAGGTAATTCTATATGTATACACTCACACAGACACATGTATGTACATACACATACAAACTTTTTGCAGTTCTATTTTTATGTTACTAATTAACTTCTTGACATAGGTAAAATGTATATATATACCTGGCTGAATATATAGCGGGAGATGATTATACAACAGTTGAAATTATTAGAAATGTTAAAAAAAAGTTCAAATTACTTCTTAAAAAACCCTTATGTTCTGGAAGGCACTCAAGGACTATTTTTGGGCACTATTGTCATAACTTCTGAGAATCACCCAAGGTTATATGGAAAAAAACATTGCTAGCCTTCATAATTTAGTAAGTTTGCACATACACCATAAATTGCCACTTTTGTTGCACAGAGGCTACATATCCATGTTACAAAATATTACATAGATACAGGTTTGACTGAATAACTAAGCAAGCCTAGTGTTTATCACAAATCTTTCTTGTACAAGCCCTTCTTAAAGAGCTATATATTTTGTAACTGATCTCAAAGAAACATTTTAAGTGCTGATGTAACAGTTGAAAATTTGACACACCAGAAGGCTGTGCTGCCATTCAGCGAGACCTGGACAGGCTGGAGAGCTGGGCAGGGAGGAACCTAATGAGGTTCAATAAGGGCAAGTGTAGGGTCCTGCACTTGGGGAGGAATAACCCCGTGCACCAGTGCAGGTTGGGGGTCAACCTGCTGCAGAGCAGCTCTGCGGAGAAGGATCTGGGGAGTTCTGGTAAACAAATTAACCATGAGCCATCAATGGGCC